ATCCACCCATCCATCCATCCACCCACCCATCCATCCACCCATCCATCTATCCATTCATCCATCCACCCATCCATCCACCCATCCATCCATCCACCCATCCATCCATCCTACCATCTATCTACCCACCCAATAATCTATTCAGCAACCCAATAATCCATCCATCTGTCCATCCATCCATCCCTCCATTCATTCATCCATCTATCCATCTGTCCATCCATTCTCCCACCTAACAGTCCATCTACCTACCTATCATACACACACACACACACGCCCATCCACTCTTCCATCCACTCAACCCTCTACCCAGCAATTTGGGGTGTCCTATGCAGGACTCAGTCAGTTGCTGATCCATACCCCCAGCCAAAGCAAAAATTTGAAGATAATTTTCTGCCTCACTCCATACTGAGTCCTTTTGTTTTCCTCACCCCATGGCCAACCCTTGGCCTGTAGGTCTGTAAAGCTGCAGGTGGGCTTTCCTTTCCTTTTTTTTTTTTTTTTTTTTGGTTTTTGGTTTTTGGTTTTTTGAGACAGGGTTTCTCTGTGTAGCCCTGGCTGTCCTGGAACTCACTCTGGAGACCAGGCTGGCCTTGAACTCAGAAATCCACCTGCCTCTGCTTCCCAAGTGCTGGGATTAAAGGCGTGCGCCACCACCACCCAGCTAGGTGGGCTTTTTCCTTATGGCCCTCTCCACACAGGACGGCCATGCCAGTCAACACTATTGACCCTTTATAAGCCAAGAGCTGAGGCAGCCAAATTGGAATGTGAGTATGTTTGTGTATTTTATGTGTGGGGTGTTTTGCCCGAGAGTATGTCAATACCACATGTCAGCACTGCCTGGTGGATGTGGAGGGTAGAAAAAGGAGCAGTGACCCCTGAGTCTGAAGTTATAGTCTTCAACCACCACGTGGGGCTGGGAATTGAACCCTGCTCCTCTGCAAGGGCCTGTTTTTATTAGTTTTTTTTTAAGATTTATTTATTTATTTGTTTTATATATATGAATACATCTTAGCTGTCTTCAGACAACCAGAAAAGGGGATAGATCCCATTACAAATGGTTGTGAGCCACCATGTGATTGCTGGGAATTGAACTCGGGACCTTTGGAAGAGCAGTCAGCGCTCTTAACCACTGAACCATCTCTCCAGCCTTTTATTTAGTTTTTTAAGATAGGGTTTCACACTGTAGTCCAGGCTGGCCTGAACTCACAGAGATCCTCCTGCCTCTGCTTCCTGGTGTGCGCCAGCACTGCCCTGGCCTCCAGCCCATGCAGCCTTTCTTCAGGGAGGGTCTCACATGAGGTCTAGGCGGGTCTGCACTTGATGATCCTCCTGACCCTGCTCCCCATCGTAAGCATGCTGTGCTTCCCTGCATGCTGTCACTATCCTGGAAGAAGGACATAGTAATGGAGAGCCAGTCTTCTTCTTGGAAGGAAGCTCATGCCAGTCTCCTTGTATAGAATGGGAACCTGGGAAGTGTGAATAGCACCAAGATATACTCTGAGGAGAGTTGTGCTCCCAAACAGGCAGCTTCAGGGTTTCTCTGCCTCGGGACTGTGGCTGTGGCTGTGGAGCCAGCGTCTTCCCTTGGCATCCCTGCTACCCCTACCCCCAATGTCAGCTAACCACAAATATCTCTTAGCAAAGCTATCATGGACCCCAAGAGATTCTGTGCCACCCCCTGACCCTGGTCACCTGTCCCATTACTGCCCTAGGATGCTGCCTACATTGAAAGCACAGGCTATAGGGAGAGAAGAGGTTGTTTCTTTCCACTTTCCTTCTGTAGATGTGACAGACACTTCCACCAAAAGCCGCTTTGGAGATTAAAGGCTTTATCTAGGTTATACAAGTCACAGTCTGTCAGAAAAAAATCAAGTCAGGGATTCAGAGCAGAAACTTGAAGCAGAAGTCGTGCAGGAATGCAGTTGCTGGCTCATTCTTACTCAGCTTTCTTATATGCCTGAGAGCTCCTGCCTAGGTGCAGGTGCCGCCCACAGTGGCTAAATCTTCCCACCTCCATTAACCTAATAACACACTCCCCACATGCATGCCCAGAGAGCAGATAATCCCTGCCAGGGTGCCTGGAGGGTTGTCTCCTAAGTGACTCTAGATTCAGTCAGTGACAATTAACACTGACCATCAAGAGCTGAAGAGGTGGCTCAGCAGTTAGTATCGAAGAGGACCTGAATTCCGTTTCTAGCATCTGTACTGGGTGGCTCACAACCACCTACAACTTCAGCTGCAAGGAATCCAGAGTCTCTGTGAGCACCTGCCCTCACATGTGCATACCCCCACACATATAGCAGTAAGTTTTTGAAGTCTTTAAGAAAAAACACATTATGTCCCCCTTAGTCAGACACCAAGGGAGGTCTCCCTATAGGACATGCACTCTGTGGTACCCTGGGAAGACCTGGGGCTAGGCAATGTCCTTGGCTTCTCCCCACATTCTCTCTGAAGCTCCTCTGTCTTAATGCCATTCAGGATGTTGGAAGGATGTTGGCTGGACCATACAGGACTGTCAACAGTGACTTCTGGCCACAGTGACTCTGTTCTCTTATCTCAGGGCACGTTTCACTACACGGAGTACCCCCTGAACCATAGTATGGGGATATCCTTTTCATACAAGAATCCCCTTGAAGTCATCATGAAACCACAGCAGAGGGGGTTTCTGATCCTCTGGAATAAGACAAGTATATTGGTGTCCTCCAATTCAGGTGAGCCACACCCTGTCCAGGCCTCCTCCAGTGGGGATGGACAGAGACTGGGGACCCCAGACTTTTAAATATGGTCATGTGCACATGGAAACCAGAGGGGTTCATCAATTGCTCAATTATTTTTTAAAAAAATTATTCCACATTAAAAAAAACCAACAACACAGTTTCAGTGAACTTGGACTTGCTAGTTGTCAGGAAGTCCCATGAATCCTCATGATTGTGCCTGCTTTGCTAGGATTACAAACCGGTCTAGACTTTTACAGAGGTGCTGAAGGGCTGAAGTCAGGTCTGTACTGTAGGAGGAAAGCGCCACTTCCAAGCTATGTACCCAGTTCTTCACTAGAGATTCTAGGTGGAGATGCTCTATCCCTAAACCACACTCTAAGCCTCTTTTAGTTAATTTGATACAGAATTTCACTAAGTTGACCAAGCTGTCTTTGAGGGGGTAAGTGGGGTGGAGGGTAGCGGGATAGGACTGGGGGGTGAGGGGTGCACAAACACATATGGAGTGCTTGAGACCACTTTGCTCCTGGTCATTAGCCTTGAGGCTGGCCTTTTCTTGGTAGATTGTGAAAAGATAATGTGAAACACCCCCTCAAGAACATGGAACATTTGTTTTTTATTGGATCCAGCAGTCACTTTTCAGAACTCAGTCACCAAAGAGACTCAGAGGAGTCACATTTCCCCAGAGCATACTAGTCTCTAGTGTTCTGAAGAATCAGGTATCTGCTGAGTTTCTCTCCTTGTTGTTTTGAATAGCAAGCCATAAAACCAAATGGGGGGCAGAGTGGGGCAGTGCAGGGAAGCCCTGCCCAGCACTGTGGATGCACTTCTATAGGATACACTTATGGGTCATCACAGTCTACCTATCCTCTCCTAGGCCAGATTGTTGAACGTGTGCAGCTGATAAAGGAGAAGACCATTGGGAGCTTAGATGTCGAAAGTGCCAATATCAGCATCCACAGCGTTGCCTGGAGTATGTAAACTTCACTCACCGTTCTCTGGAGGGTTGACACAGGAGGGTTGCTGTGTTGTGAGGCCAGCCTGGGTGGGCTACAAAGTAAGACCCTGTCCAAAGACACAAGACAGAGAGAAAAGAAGGAACAGGATGATTTGACTTCTGTTTCAAGTTGCTTGCTTTTATCCTGCTTCCCCCACCCCCACCTCTCCTACCCTTCCCTGTCTGTGACTGGCTGAGACTTTGCCTATTGAGGCTCAGCAATCTGTATGACTGGTTGAAATGCTGCTCTGCCTGTCACACACTTTGGATGGAAACTCAATCGGGTGTGATTGGTTAAGATTCGGCCTTGTGATTGGCCAAAGTGTGTTTGTATGATTGGCTAGGATTCCACTGCTCCTCAGCTAGGCTGTAGTTGACCTCTGACCTCCTTAGCTTCTGTCTGACCTCTGGCACACTTGCTGATGAGGGGTGACTGATGTTTACATTTTGTTGTTCCATCTGCTGTTTCTTGCAGATGAAAGTATGAGGATATTTGCATGTGTGCCTGGGTTAGTGGGTGCAGGTCAAAGGGCATGAGTACCATCTTCTACTAAATGGGTCCCAGCAATGAAACTTAGGTCTTCAGGCTTGACAACAAGCACCTCTACCTGCTGAGCCCCACCCCCACCCTGGCCCCTACCGTCTGCATCTCATATCACCTCTCCTTTTTCTTTCTCTTTCCCAGATACCTACGAGCTGGCTTTTTTTGCAGCAGCAGATCACCTGTACTATGGAAGTCAGAGTTACATGGGAACCTACGTAATCAAAGTGTGTCTGAGTGTTTGGCCAACAGTGTGATGTGAACCTTCCTGCTTAAGCTTGGGCACTATGCTAGTGAAGTGTCTTTTTGTTTGAAGGCAAGGCCTCTTGTAGCTGAATCTAGACCTATATGTAGCCAAGAATGACCACAAAGTCCTAATCCCCTTGCCTCCACCCCTGAGGGCTCTGTTGGCAGGCAGGTGCCACTATGCCCAGTTTTGGGGTATTCTGCCCATGAATCCAAGGCAAGCATTTTAGCTACTGAGACCCACCTTACACCTTACAAGCCATTTGATCAGGACCAGGCCCCAGGTTCAAACCTCAGAACCATAAAGCAGAACAAAGAAAAACAGTGAGATATACATATGGAGCCGTGGCATTGTTGCTCCTGAGAGGGCATGCTTGCTGTGGCCAAGCTTGTCCTAAGCAGCACTAGCTTCATACACACACCAAGCAGACTTGACCTGCGGGCTAAGGAGCTCACAACTCAGAATACCACTAAACCAATGACCTCAGTTCTGTCCCCAAGAACCACATGCTGGAAGGAGGGTATTGACTCTCACCAGGTTGTCCTCTGGCTGCTGCCATGTGTGCACCACACAACAGGTGAATGTAATAAAAATGTGGTTTTTAGAGTACTCAGCTAGGCATACTATACCGAATCTAAACTTCGTTCACAGTTCTCTGGAGGGTTGACACAGGAGAGTTACTGTGTTGTGAGGCCAGCCTGGGTGGGCTACAAAATAAGATCCTGTCCAAAGACACAAGACAGAGAGAGAAGAAGAAACAGGATGATTTGACTTCAGGACTTGCTTTCCCCACAGCTGATCGGTGACACTCTCTGGTCTGAAGACATGAGCATTTATTTTGAGAACACTGGCATGCTAGTGGTCTTCACCCCTGTTTTTGACCCACATTTTGCAGCGTTTGACTTTCAGAAGTGTACGGTGAATGTGCAGGACACTCTCATGGACGAAGAGCTGCATCTCATGCCGTGTAACGTAGGTGATGCCTGTGGCCCACATCAGTGTCCCCCACGTCAGTGCTCCATGAGCTTTGTGGTGGTTTGTTTCTAGGCAGCTAGTGTCACAGGGGAGCCTAGGGCCTCGTACAGTGGAGGAGAACCACCTTTTAGTCAGCCCCTCCCTGGGCTCATCTCTGCTGTTAGAATGGGGGAAACTGAAGGAAAAATTGAGCGATCCTAGTTTCTTGGGAGGCTATGGTAAAAGCATTGCAAATTCTTTTCAAGCCTGGACAACTCAACAAGACTTTGTTTTAAAGTAAAGGTGACCATGGGTCTAGGTGTGTGGCTCAAGGGTGGATCCCCCACCAAGAATGCTCTGGTGAGTAGCTGGGGGCCTGTTCATGAGTGGAGAATATGCACAGCCTATGCCCCTGTGCAGGTTCACTACTCAGTATTGCAAGAAATAAGTGAAAACATTCAGTAAGATCACAATTTCTGGAAAAGTATAGCGGATATGCTTGTCTCCATAAGGCTCTCGCAACACTGGGTCTGGCTATGGCTCCCAGCATGAGGAGAAAGTCTCTGCATAACGTGCAGCAGCCCTCACCTGTCCTTTGCTTCAGGAGACTGGGCTAGAGAACAGTCTTTCCTGTAGCCTGCCATCTCCCCCAGGTGGAACTTCTGGAAAGCACCATGGAAAATAAAATGTTCACAATAGACATGAACAGCAAGCTAAAACTGTCTGCCCTCATTATACCCCGGATGGACGAGAACCCTACTCCCCTGGTGAGTACGGAGACAGCCTGGACCACAGGAGGACACTCAGCCTGTCCCCAGACCTTTCTGCCCCACAGGCTACAAACTCCATAGTGCTGCCAGGCTGTAACCCCAGAAGACCTTGTTCTTCTCCTCTACCTTTGCCTGCCTCCTCCACACTAATCCTCTTCTTCCTTCCTCCTCCATCCCCTCCTCCATCTCCTCCTCCATCCCCTCCTCCATCCCCTCCTCCATCCCCTCCTCCATCCCCTCCTCCATCCCCTCCTCCATCTCCTCCTCCATCCCCTCCTCCATCCCCTTCTCCATCTCCTCCTCCATCCC